TTGTGTATCAACTCTGCCCACTAGGCCGCCAAACCCCAGATAGAACCATTAGCTTGGTTTATAAACAAAAGGCCTATAATTGAACATAAGAAAACTCTTTCCTTGTTGGCAAGAGAGGTGCAGGTTTCTATCACACATCAACCGTAATGGGCCAGTGCCTAGTGGCGCTAAGTGTCGCCATTCTTGGGCTGGGCCCCAACTTTATCTACTTACAACAATGCCATATGAGGTGGAGACCACTCAACTTGAGAAACCAAAGTCCAAAATTGCAGACAAGGGAGCATGAGTGTAGCCTACATGGCATGACTCAGTGAAACATTTGTGTACTTGTTGGTCACGTGCTTGTGGGACCGTGAAAGGCACGGGCGTTTTTGTTAGTTAGTTGTTTTACTTTTTCTTCGTCTCTACTGAACAAAACAAAGAGGAAATAAAGAGGGGCCCATAGAGCTATATTTACGATACAGTCCATTGGGAAGATAATGTTAACTTGATCAATATCAAATATGCATCGATAGCAAATGGGCCCATCAATTTGGTGATATCAGATGGAGAAGTTATTTATCCACCTGTAAGATGAGTATCACTTAACTGAATAACTGACATAAGTGATACCTAGGAAATAAGTTTTTTCTGATCTCTGAAAAAGAAAACATAGAAAACATGGATTTCTTTCCCTGCTCTCAAAATCCGAAAAACAAATACCCTCTAAATATACCTAAAAATTGTAGGATTAAATTGGTGCACTTTGTTTCCACCAAAAAGAATCGATGCACTTTAAAGGATAGAAAGTATAACCAACCAGCGGCCATGAAAATGAAAATGAAAATGGGTCGGATTGGTCGGGTTAGGTTGAGGCTAACCCAGGTTGTACCTTTAACAATTTGGCACATCAAAATTGATTGGTACTTCGATAGAACAAGCTTAGAAATGAAAGTTTGATAGAGGAGTACCAATTAAGCAAAAAGAAAAGAAAAAGATAAAGTTTCATCACACTTCAGCATGCGGAGTGAGGTGACGTGGAAATTAGCCGGGTCCCTCTCATCTTTTATTCTTCCTCCGAATAAAATAAGATACAATAAAGGCTCGGTGGCCCCCATGGCCATGGAGTTGTCATCATAGCTATCTACATTGCACCTTACCATTAGGGTGGACTAGTAGCTAGGGACCACGTTCAAGTGTCCAACCGATGCTACTCACAAGTCACACCTCATGTAATACCCAAAAAAAAAAGAAAAAAGTTAAACCCATGTCACATTATTAGGGCATGAAAATGAGTTGGATATAAAGCGGGTACAGCTAAATCCATATGAGATCCAAACAGACAATCGGGTCTATTGGTGGATCCATAACTTACCCTTCCCATTTAGTCACTCGAGCTGGATAATCAAAGTAAAATGGGTATAAAGAAGAGTTCATATCTGGTCCGTATTTTTCTTAAAACTATGCGTTAGAAAAGGGGTTCTTTGTGTCATTTCATTGTGTATCACCAATAACCGGTATCTGTCAAGGATGGCAAATTCTGTACTAATTCATCCACTTACGATGCATCCAAACCCATCTATTTAACATGTGTGAGTAGAATAAGGCTTGAACAATAATCTATTGGATCGATTAAATTTGGTTAGGTTGGATTGTGGGTAGACATTTGGGCCAATTATATGATTTATTTGTATTGACATTATACGAGAAATCAGAATTTTTTTCTCAATAATAATGTGTTTACATGGGTTTAAGAATTTAAATGGGTTAGGGAGGTTGCAACCCATGAATGGATCGGTGGATGGATTCGGATTGGCCTTCAACCGAGATACAACCTAACCAATCCATTTTCCATCCACTTTTGTATCCCGTGGCAGTGAGACAAATAATTGCCTTTTGCCTGTAGTTGTAGAGTCGGCTTACACACATCTAGCGTGCATTGGCTACATCTGTCATACTTCTTATGGAAAGAGCCCATCCCCCATAGCTCATTTGGCTTCAATACTATCTAAAAACAGTTAAGAAAATCTAAAACAATGAATGCATGGATAGCATTTGGTTTATTTCAATTCAATTACAAACGTCACAATGCGTGCAACTTGGGTGGGTTGAGTTAGGATGAGGATCAATCCAAGCCTAATCCAAAGCCGTAAACCTTGAGTTCAAGCTTAGATTAATTTAATTATGACTACAAAAGTTAATTATAGATTAATTTAATTATGACTATGGCCTAATTTTATATAATTATTAATATTTAAGTATTTTAGATATTTATGTGATATTTACAAAAAATTATAACATTTATTCATTAATCAAGTAAAATAAATAAAATAGAACACAAATAGATAATACGAAAAAAATATTTTATTAAGTAATTAGCAATAATTTGTTATTTATGATAAAAATCATAAATATAATTAATTCAAATTACTAAATTAATAAATCATTTTTATAGTAAATTATTAAAATAAAGATTTAATTATTTTAAACAACATTGCATTCCTTCCTTAGTTATAACTTGCAAGCTTTCATTATTTCACTTTTCCCTTGATCTTGATGAATCCCATACATCCGAAGTCCCTAAAGACCAATAAAATGGTTTCTACTTTCTAGTGAGTGCGGCCTTGAACTTGGCCAATTGGTCGAAATGTGCAGTGGAAAGTTGTTAGAACCACGTTAGTGCGGTAGGGAGCATTGAATTCATAATGTTCATTGGATATAGTTTGCCACATCATAATCCGGGGTCCCCCTGACGTGTTATATAGTAATTGGTCCAGTGTTGAGAGAAAATAAAAGCATTCTTCACAAAAAGGCCCCATTCGCTTTTCGGTAAGTTATTTTTCTAGGTAAATGCAATTACCTAAATAAGTTTTTCTTTGAAAACATTTATCCAGGTAAGTGCATTTACCCATGTTCTTTTATTTTTTATATAAATAATGCAATGACTATTTTATCCATAAAAATCCATTATTAAAAGGGGCATTATTGTCTCATTCAAGTGTTGGCAACTTTTCCCTATGTGGGAAAGTTATTTATCACCACCTAGGAGATGAGTATCATTCAAGTGTTGTCTCATTTAAGGTCGGGAAAATAAATTTTCTTTGATCTCTACATAAATAAAAAAAAAAGAACATAAAATTTTTAGTTAATATGAACCAAAATTCCAATGACCAAGTTTCCTCCTCAAAATCTGAAAAAAGAACGCCTTGAAAGAAAGATATCATGCCAAATAGCCCCGTTAAGGCCGTTAGGATTAAAACCGTAGGGCGTAGACCATTCAAACAACCGCTTTAACGATTCAGCGCCTCATATTTCTACTCTTATGATAAAAATCCTCCGATTCCGTCCATATCGAGTACTGTCATATCTATTTGTCCTTGTATGGGTCCCACATTTCGGAATCTTACGGAAGCGCACGAAGAAATATCAAGTATCCCAGCCGACTCGGCGATGATTTCGGACTGCATCGCAGAAATAAGTCGCTTTGTAGAAATGCTTGATAAGTTATAATTCTGTAGGAAAATCTATGACCGGAAAGATATGTATGGAAAAAAAAATGTTTGACCAATCAAAGTCGTGAATTTTGATTTATATCATGCTACATCAAGTCCCCTTTTGATACGCTGGAATAGGGGTTTGAAATAAAAATAGATTATTTTGATTCTAATTGTTTGATTAGGCGGAATCAGAATCTTATTTTTATTTCTGTTAAAATGATATTCTTTTATTTGAGAGAATAGAGGATGGTCATTCCCTACCCTCCCTTAAAAATAAAATCTCATTCATACTGTTATTCTCATTTCTGTCTGAACCAGATTATGAAAATAAGCCATTCTGATTCTAATTTCAATCTTAATCCCAACTACCAATCAAAAGGACCCCTAATATTTTATTACTTCATTTCGTTACTAGTTATAAACCGTAGCCAATGGGATTTTATACAAATTGAACCACCGTCAGTTTGTTTTTTGAGGAAGAGGAATTTTATTGCCGAATCAATGAGGTAGCAACCCGAATCGAATTGTTCAATATCCAATTGCATATTGAAATCCAAAATAAAAGAATTGAATTTTAGATCTACCTTACATCCAATCCAATCCCATCCATCATCCATTTGCAGCCTTACCAATTCCTATTGACATTTGAAACGATTACTTTGATGTATAATATGGGACCTTCGAAGTCCAACACATCTACTTAAACAAATAAAACTCAAATTTTAACCATTAATTCGTGTTTTTTTTTTTGGTTGAACCCGGCGAAATATAAGGCGGTTGGCCGGGCTCCTAACACATCTAGAGCGGCGATTCCTCCTGCCGACTCCACCGGCATATCATCACATGGAGATATCACCAAAACCACTTATCATCAATTAAATAAATACAACAAAGTTTGCAAGTCAATATCATACGAGAGAACAAAGTGGGCCGCGGGGACCATGATAAAGCCCAACTCTCATTTCCAAACTCCTCTTTCTATTGAAAAATTGAATTATTTCCAAATAACGGAAAAGGGTTGTGTACCAAAAGAAAATTACGGAAAGGGTACGGGAACGGAATTACTCTTTTCCTTTTACACATCTGAACTCCCATGTCTTCTGTAGCTTTTGCTAACAAACAAAACCACGCAAAATTTACGAGGATTTTCCTAAAAATATATTCCCAAGCATATGACAGACAGATGGCATGGCATAAATTCATTACGTGTTTCTAGCAGCTTAGTAGGTCCGCACCGAAATGGTACCACAAACCTAGAAGCTTGCCAGGTGGCACAAACTTAGCTTCTTCCCCCGCGTCGACTGCCCAGAAGAAAAAGCATAAACCATGTCATGTATTAGAATATACTCTTCGAAGTGGGACGCATTTTGTCCCGTCTCTTCCTTAAAGCAAACACACTAGGTTTAATTACGGTTTCATTTCATCATCTAGCGAAGTGGTTGCACTGCACTGCTGCTGTTCATTCAACCCCTTTCTTCAACCATAAGGCAAAACCAAAAAAGTAAAAAAATTATGTGATTCATGAATCATGGCACAAGGGGAGATTTTCATAACCGTATTCATTACCAACTTCGTATATATCTACAGTCTCTTCCTCCAGAAGTCTCTCAAACAACTCGCTCAACAACAAAAAACAAAGGAAAAAAAAAAGAAACAAAACAGTAGTGCTCCGTCTTGGCTGATTTCAGAGTCTCCGATGTCCTGTTTAACTGTTTTGCTGTTTTCCTGGAGTTTCCACTCCTTGCTTGGAATAATCGGTTTCTGGAACCATCTGACTTCCAAGAAGAGCCGAGCCCGAGTCCACACGAGACGTCTACAAGCGCATATGTACAATAGCTCAACACCTCCTTCGATCCGATACACGCTTTACACTTTTTATAGAAGTCGCTTTTTTCGGTCCTCTGTTCTTTTGCTCTAAGCCAAGTCGCTCAGCAATCTCGTTCCTCCTCCACTTGTGATCCATGGATGTCCTGAAATAACCAAACGAAACAGAGATCAGTCTTCCACACAAAAGTCCCGTCAAGGAATGAGCAAAATTACAGCACAAGGAGATCATCAGTCTCCCAACAAGCAAGATTTCCAATGTAAAGAACCCCGAAACATCGCACTCTAACCCACCAAAACCAGCTAGCAACGATGCAGAGCACCCCAAGAGTAAATATCAACTAAAACAGAGAAACCAAAAAAGAAGTTCTAATTCTGGGACGATTTTAAGTTAAATTTTAAACCAGAGAGAGAGTTGGAAAATAAGGAGAAGATCATGGTTGAACCATAAACTGCAAAAAGAAAAGGAACAGAAAAACACAGATTGGCTACTGAAAACACTTGTTAGGGGTTCAAGTAAGAGAAAGAATGATCAATCAATTACAAAACCCTAGGAAAAATCGAAGGGAAATTTCTGAAAACGGGGAGAGAGAATAATCTGTTATTTTTACGTGTTGCCATGGTCAACCAGTTGAAAAAACACTGGAAGGAAAATACACTTACTTAAAACTTGCTCCGCAGAGAATCTCCTCGAGACGTCCTTGCAAAGCATCCTCCGTAAAAGATCCTTGGCCGCCGGGGAAACAGAATGGAAGATCCGAGTCGGAAAACGAAGATTGGCACGAAGCACCGCCTCGAATATCTCAGTCGCTGACTCACCGTAGAACGGAGGGATTCCGGCCAACATTATGTACATAATGACCCCCGCGCTCCACACATCCACTTTCTCATTGTAATCCCTTCCGGACAGCACCTCCGGCGCCACATAGTAAGGAGTCCCAACGATCCCCCTCATGGATCGCCCCTCGTGAAAGTAATCGGCTGAACCAAAGTCCGCGAGCTTCAGTATGTTGCGATCATCAAAGAGCACATTATCCGGCTTGATATCCCGATGAGCAACACCACGCCTATGACAATAAGCGATGGCATCCATCAACGGCGACATAACGGCAGCCGCTTCAGCCTCGGAGAAAGTCCTCTTGGAAACACGCTCGTAAAGATCGGAAGAGCCGCAGAGCTCCATCACCATGTGAAGATAAGCGTCGTCCTCGTAAACGTTAAAGAGTTGGACAACGTTAGGGTTCCCGCTGACGAGGAGCATGATCTTGGTTTCTTTCTCCAAGCATTCTCGATCGATGGAGTCGGCCAAAAGACGCTTGTCGATCGACTTGCAAGCGAAGAATTCACCGGATTCCTGCGAGAAGCACCGATAGACTGTACCGAATCTTCCCCGACCGATCTCTTCGCAAATCTGGTAGTCCCTCTGCAAACCCTCACACATCTCCTATGTCTTGTTGCTCCCTAAAACCTGTTCTGGTCTAAGGATCCCTTCTCCGGTCACTCCGTATTTAAAAGCAGAGGCAAGTTCGAATTTCTTGAACGAATATTCGCTTGCATTAGCTCCCACCAATGACAACCGTCCACGCAACGTATTAAAGGCTGTAGCTCCTCCATCTGGCATTTCCTGAGCTTTCTCCTTTATTCGATTTAGGTCTGATGTTGCCAAGAATTACACAAATGCCCCATGCTTGGACGGGAAGTTTTGCATCAGTTAGTGGGGGAACAGAAAATTAGAACAAAACCGGTTGATTAGGGAAAATTAATATTTAATAACAATAAATATAAAATTAAAGAAGATTTTTATTATTTTATGGTGGTTACGTACGAGGATGTTAGCAAAGTATTTGGTCTTGCACGGATATTAGCTAAAAATTACGAGGATTGCCATTGTTTTCTTGCATGTTGCACCATTGCTTGTTTGAGAAATAAGTCCGAAATTAAGTGTTTATTTTCAGTTCAAGTATTAATAAGCATTTATTTAATTTTTTTTTCGAATTTATTTCTAGTTGAATCCTAAAGTACCATTTATAACATTATTTTTAGTTGAATTTTATAAAAGTATTTTTATAAAAATGTTTTCATAAAAATACTTTTATTAAAATGCTTTTATAAAAATACTTTTGTAAAAGTATTTTTATAAAAAATTACTTTCATAAAATTTGAAAGAAAATAAAAACAAAATATTTATAAATGCTTACGTAAGTGCTTATTGAAAAAAGACTACCAAATGCTTAATATAAAATAAATGTTTATACAAATAAGCACTTGTTTTTACGCAATTACTCATTAAGCACTCTTTTTAACATAAATACTCCCAAAAATGACCTAAGGCCATGTTTTGTTTATTATATCAACTTTAATTTAGTTATTATAAAGTCGACCAGAAATAAGATGCACAGTTGTCTACTATTTATTTTGGGTTGGGTCTGGGCCGGGCCTAAAGTGTTTGGAACTAATAATAAGTGCAGCCTGAAAGTTTGCGGGCCGGACTTGAAATAATCACTCTTAAACCTTGATTTAAGAATGAGGATGGTAATAATTTTTAGTTAAAAAAAGCCTGATTTTACTTTCCCTTTTTACCTTCTATAATTAATTTATTTAACTATCATTATTCATGAGGCCTACACTAATTTTTAATCAAAAAGCATCATTTTATTTTCCCTTTTTACCCTTTATGATTTTTGTTTTTTCAGTAATTTATTTAACTATCATTATTCACGAGGCCATAAGCTGTCCATCAAACTTTTTCCAATGATAAAAAATGAGAATATCTTGATTTTATTTTCCATATTTACCCTCAACAATTTTTGTTTTCCAAATTTCTTTTTTTTTTTTTTTGAAAGCAATGGCTAATTTCATTAAGAATGCTCAGAATTTCAAATACAATCCATGAGAGTACAATCAGCAATAGTAAACAAAAAAAAAATGAAAAGATAAACCCAAACCAAATTACTGATAAAGAAACAAATCCTGAGCACCAGAGAAATTCTTGTAAGAACTCTGCAAATGGCGCAAAAAGATGGAAATGCCAATAAAGGAGGATTGACTTCCAACAGAGTCAAAACTCAGCAAGAAACTCTCAAAAACAAATAAGGATACACATAAAAAGAATGCCAAAGTCACCATCTTCCATGGCAATAGCAACTAAAATCATTGGCTCACCTAGGCTTGGGAGTAACAGACATCTTGCAAATGTAAACTCCAACCCAAAGGAAAGTTTTATTAAAATAGTTGGTAACCCGTCCCTAGGCATGATGCAAGAAAAAGGCAGTCCTTTCCAAAGTTAATCATCCATAAGTACCACATCCCCACTAAGTGATGGTAGTCCAAAAAAAGTGCCAAAAAGGGTTCCTCTGATAACTGATAGGTTGGACACCGCCGGAGACTGAACGGAAACGATTGGATTGCATCGGAAAAATTTATGCCAGAACAAAGAATGTTCCTTCTCATCGAAGAACAACTCACTGGAATACACCACACTAGAATGCATCCCACGGAAGAAGATCCAAAAATAATGTCGTCAGTAAAAGCATCCACATATATCTCCCTAGAACAGACGTCACTGTACAAATCGATGTTAGTAACGACAACATCATCAACCTTTTTGAAATCAAAACCATTGAAGAACAATTCGTAGAGGAAGAACCACTTCTCAGAACAAAGATGAAGCCATCATATCCAATCCGTGCATGGGGAAATCAATGGAAAATAATTACAAAACACAAATAACAAAGAAATGAAGAAAATAATTATGAAAAACATAAAATGATGAAAATAATATAAATTACGAAAAAACAAAGAAATGCATAGAAAATTTACAAAAAAATATAGAAATTTTTATAGCATACTAAAAAAAATGAGAATGTTGCAATTGGTTTGGTAAAAAAAACCCTAATTTTACCTTCCAACTTTACCCTCAACTTTCTATTTTTCCATTGTATATATTGCTATTGCAAAATAATTGTGAATAAAACACAAAAAATGAAGAAAATAATATAAATTACAAAAAAAATCAAAGAAACATAGAGAAAATTTACAAAAAAATATAAACAATCATAAAAATTGAAGAAAAACATAAATTACAAAAAAACCAAAGAAAAACCATAAATTATAGAAAAATGAACAAAAATTGTAGAATAAAATAAGAATTTATATCTACTACCATATATAAAAAATGAGAATGATTCAAATAGTGTGGTCAAAGACCCTCATTTTTCATACCAATTCTATCCCTTAGTTTTTTGGTTTTTCCAACATATCCCAATTCTATATGAGGATGCATGATAGTAGTTGAAAAAAAAAACCATTGTCTTTTCTAAAAAGCCATTAGGTGGACACCTGACCCACCAACCCGTTAATGACCCATTTTGGGTTCCACCCAACCCAACCCATTAATTTTTCACATAATAGATAAATTCTAGAAAAATATAACTATAAAAGATACATAATATACAAATAAAGATAAAAATTGTAGAAAATAACATAAACTAAAGAAAAAAATGTAGAATAATTATGAAAACATAGAAAATGAAGAAAATAATATAAATTACAAAACAAAAAGAAATACACAAAAAATTTACAAAAAAAAATATAGAAAAGTATAAAAATTGATGAAAAATAACAGAAACTAGAATAAACAAAGAAAACCATAAATTATAGAAAAATGAATAGAAATAGCGGAATAAAACAAAATTTTATAGAAAAATATAACAAAAAATATAGAAATTTCATTCCATGGGCCCTAGACATGTTTATTAGTTGGGCCCATGTCTTATAAGGGCATTTGGCCACTGAGATTGTATGTTATCATGTGTGTGGTTGTTAAGTAGGGCCTGCAACTCATGTCCTCAGTCTTATGCAACACTGTGATACATTATGAATCATTCGATTGTTTTATTCTTGGACAAATGTGTGGAGGTGATCAATGTGCCTAGAAGGTATTTGCATACATTTTACTCTAGTGGTTGGTTGATAAATTTTGCTTCCAACTAATTTCTTTATCTCCTTTTAGTTAAAAAGTATAAAGAAAATGTTTTTAGGCTTACATGTAAGTTATTTAATAGTCTTCTTAGATAATGACTTCTGCTATTCAATAGTTAATTGAGATGAATTGTAAATTAACATAATAGCTTAGTTTAGTTCTAACCATTAATAGTAATTATTTTCGTAGGTTTTAAGTTATTACAAAACATGAGATTGGCTAAGAGTGGCATCTCCAATTCTCCATAAATTTTGTGTTTCATTGGGATGAATTGTATCTATGTAAGTGTAATTTTATCATTGATTTGGTGCATTAATGTTTCAATTTGATGCATTTGCAACCAATAGTTTATGATTATAAAATTTAGATCTTGGCATTTTGTGAGGATAGTCTTTCTTTTTATGTATTATATAATTATCTTAGGACTTGAACAGTATGTGAACTTTCATCTACGCCCGAGATGTAAAAGCATAGTGAAACATCACCACCAATATCAAATACCTTGTGCATCGCACAAGCCATTCCACTAGTAAAAAGAAAACAATTAATGAGTTATGTATGTATGCTTTTTTTGTGTTTGTGAATCTCAATTGAATTTAATTAGGTTGAGATGTTGAGTGGAGAGTGTGGACATGATGTCGATGGTGATCCACCTCAACATCATTTTATGTCCACTCTACAAATACAATTATATAGAGTGTAAAAACTTGTATTATTTTGTATATATTTACACTGTACATATTTGTATTTACACTCTTTCCAAACTTAACCCAACAGAATAGTAGTAGTTTTTTCTAGTGAGGTGTCAGAGGTGCAATTAATTGAATCAACCCTTAATTCAACCAGTTTAAGTTTGAATAAGATTAGGCTCAACAACCAGCATTAGACAACAACCAACTGCTCTTTGAAATTATGAATGCCAACTTCCACCTTCTTTGGCCAATCTGGCCTCTACCACCTTACTCGTGGAACCCACTTCTTACCATCAAGCTGCTCTTGATCCCATATGGCAACAACCCATAATTGAAGAAATTAAAGCCTTAGAACGGAAAAACACATGGTCTTTAGTGTAATTACCCCCTAGCAAAAGAGTCATAGGGTCCAAATGGGTATACAAGATCAAACTTAAAGCTAATGGAACCATAGAACACTAAGGCCAGATTAGTAGCCAAAGGATATAACCAAGTTGAAGGACCGGACTGTCATGATACCTTTGCTCTATTAGGAAAACTAATAACAATGCATTGCTTGCTTTCTACTATTGTTGCTAGAGGTTGGGAATTACACCAACTTGATGTACATAATGCCTTTCTCCATGGGGATTTCCATGATAAAGTTTACATGCAAATACCTCAAGGCTTTGCAAAAGATGGTGATTCACAAGTATGCCAACTACACAAATCATTTTATGGCCTTAAATAGGCCTCTTGGATGTGGTTCGAGAAGTGCATCTAATCACTCACATTATTGGATTCATCCAATTTACAGCTGATTACTCTTTATTCACTTG